CTAAATCGTCTGCAGAAAGTCCAGAATGCTGCAGCCAGATTTCTTTCTAATGCTAATGGACGCTGCCACATCACTCCCATTCTGGAAGATCTACACTGGATTCCTGTGCAATTTCGAATTCAAAACAAGGTTCTTACTTTTACTTACAAAGCCCTGAATGGTCTTGCCCCCTTATACCTCTCAGAGCTGCTCCCCCCCCCCCCCCCCCCCCCCCCCCCCGGTCACTAAGGTCTGCTGATCATGTATTGCTCATAGTCCCTAAAATGAAATATAAAGCTCGTGGGGAGCGTGCGCCTTTGCAGCTCCAAGACTTTGGAACGCACTCCCTCTGGTGGTACGCCAGGCTTCTTCACCGGCACAGTTTAAATCCAGCCTGAAGACACATTTCTTTATTTTGGCTTTTGGCCAATGATCGGTCTTTTATGCTGTGGCTCTTCTGTTTTACTGACTTCTCTTTTATTGGCTGTTTTATACATTTGTATTGTTTTTAGGTGTTTCTATTTTATGAATGCTTTTATCTGTGTTTAATGTGTATGTATGTGTATTTTAAATGGCTTTTTAGGTTTTAACTCTGTGCAGTGCTTTGTTCAGCTGACATGCTGTTTTTAAATGCGCTATATAAATAAAATTGGATTGGATTGTGATTTCTTCTGTTTGACTCAAATTTAAACACATTTGCAATATTTTTACTGAGTCGGAGCAAGTAATATTACAATCTTCCAACCCTGGCTGTGCTGATTAACACAATTTGACACACTTAAACCTGTTCACACACACACACACACACACACACACACACACACACACACACACTGTATGCTGCAGAAACTCTGCAGCCGTGCCCTGCAGGAGGAGTTTGAAAGTGATGTTGATTAGCGTAGCTTTGAGAGAGGGAGCCGTTTGTGATGGGTTTTACGTGATGAATCAAGTTCGACATCGGCAGCCACAGGGCGGTCATCCTTGAAAGATTTGCCATCCATGAAAACACACACACATTTCAAACTGAAAACCTTGTATGCCCACAGCCCCCCCTCCTCTGCTCCAAAGAATGCACCCATACATGTTTTATTAAAAAAGTAATTTGGAGAATTTGCTTTTAATTACATTCTAGATCATTCATATTACTGTTGGAGCATTTAGGTGCACTGAATTAGCAGTTTCAACATAAAAAAATGCTTTCTCAGCAGTAGTTTTGATTATCACATCAGTTCACTATTATCAAAAGACTCCAAGAAATTTTGATTGGACTGAGCTGATTTAGTGCCGTGCAGTCGCACTCCAGTTCAGTGAGGAGAGCGCACAGTTAGCGTCTCCACCCACTGTGAGGGAATAGAGTGAGCGGTCAGGTAACTGAGAAACAACCTAGTAAGATAGGAGTGATCCTCCTAATTCGATGCGTGTATCGACACTAGGACAACTGGAAATGTGAACGATTCACCCAGCTCAATCGTATAACACCCCTTCAGAATCTCCACGTTCACAAACCGTAAATTGTACAAGATTACCAATTACCATAGCAACCCCCCTAGATTTCGAGCCAAAAGTTGACACATCTGACCAGAATTTCTTTTCCTAACAGACATTCATCTTCTGAACAGGCATGCGTTTCCTGCAAAAAGTCTATATCTGATTTAAGCCGTTCTAAATGAGCCATGACCTTCCTAGATTTTAGAGGATTATTAAGGGATTTGACATTTCAGCTCACACATGTAATCGGGCCTCCAGGTGTTTGTCTATCATTTGTCCCACCAGTCATAACTTACACATAGAAAACATGAAAAGTGTCACGTATGAAACCAAATCACAAATAACCCCTTACCATAACCCAGACACAACCTCCCTCCCAACCTTACAGAACCCAGTAACACTCCCTTTATCCCAAATAAACATGGAGTTAACATTCCCTCCCAACAAAATACCAACGCAAATCTGTGCTTGTACTGGGAGAAGTCCAAACCACACCCAACCGGGCTCCCAACTGGTCCTCCAAAAACAAAAAGTAAGTACCGTATTTTCCGGACTATAAGCCGCTACTTTTTTCCCACGCTTTGAACCACGCGGCTTATAATGAGGTGCGGCTTTACTGAATATTTCCTTCACCTGCCAGGGGGCGCTTTAGCAGAAAGTGAAACAGGTGGAAGTCAAAAGTGGAAATCGAAGAAAGTGCTCATTTTAATTTAGCACATGCAAGCAGCCGGCATGATGAAGAATGTTTTTCTAATCCATACCCCCTCATCATGGAAACTACACGTATGAGTTCATATGTTGCCGCATTTAAGTTGAAGGCCATCGATCTGGCAGTAAAGGAGGGAAACAGTGCTGCCGCACGTAAGCTTGGCATGAATGAATCCATGGTTCGGCGCTGGAGACGGCAGCGGGAAGAACTCATTCAAGCCAGCTTCACCCGGGATGATGACAGCAACACGGCCAGCGACACTGACATCGCCACAGAAAAGATATGTGACGAAGCTCTTCTGAGGCTGTTCAACTCCGACACTGAAGAAGAGGACTTTAATGGCTTTAGAGCGCAGGAGGAAGATGAGAGCGAATGACTTCTTCTGGTAGGCAAGTGTGTTTTATTTACTAACCAGGCGTGTTTAGTGTGCAGTTTTTATTTCATAACATCCAGGCCTTATTAATGCTGTGTCAGCGCTGTTCTTTTCTTCTAAACATGCAAATGACCGGTAATAACGTGTCAGTGCTGTTTTTATTTTATAACCATCCAGAAGTATGAATGCTATCAGTGCTGTTTTCTTTTCTAAACTTGCAGGCACGTTCACCCGTGTTTAAAATCCGTTTTGTTGAATTAAAACAATGACGAAAAACCTCCGTGTAGCGTCTTTCTGTCTAATTATCTTATGTTACGCCCGTACATGCGCTGTGCGCCAGAGACCTGCATGTGGCTGCTGCGCCGCGGCTTGTATTTGAGTGCGGCGTGTGTGTGTGTGTGTGTGTGTAGAAAACATTTTTTTTTTGTCGGTGCGGCTTATATTGAGGTGCGCTCTATAGTCCAGACATTACGGCAACTAATGAAGAGGCAGATTGTGGGCACAAAAAACACACAAAATCTGACAACTCAAACAAAAACTGAGCTCTATCATCATTCAGGACCTAAACCAGAAGCTGACTGACAGCATGTCAGGATGAATTATTCAGGTCCTGTAAAATAGATAATGAACACTACAAATAATGACCATTTGCTAAAATAAAGGACCGTAGAATGTTACATGGCATTTATCAATAGTGACATTAAAAAGCACTAAAGCATGACATTTCACGAAAACCAACACTAGTGTCCTTCTACAAACATTTGGCCACACGTTTATACTACACACCTGATTACAGTCGGGTAAATTAATCCCTTAAATTTTGAAGTTCAATGAATGCAATGGGGTTTTGTCCCATGGGCAGGACGCTGGAATGCTAATGGGGTTAAGCTAACCATTAGCATTAGCAGTTTCACCGCATGGTAGAAGCCCCTCCAGGCTTGTGTTGTCTGTGGAGATGAAACATCCACGTTGAAAGTCAGAAGTAGAGTCATGTTGCTGTTATCCAGTCTGGGGCGAGACACAAACATCAGGAAATAAGACTCCATAACCTGCCGTCTGAAGCTCAGGGGTGACGTGGACACCTTTTAGGACAGCAAAATGGTGCACTGGTATATTTGTTCCCCCCGAGAATGACTAACAAGGCATTCATTCCTTCTAGAGACCACTGAAAATGTATTGATTAAACCAGAAATATACTCGTTTAAACCTTAAAACTGCAGAATCAAATTTTGCAACAACTGAATTGGATTTACTGATTATAACTGGCTTTATTCTGGACCTGATATATGAATGAGTTCATTTTATTAGTGCTTTGAGATTTTCAGCGTGAACTGGTGCTTTAAAAACAATGTGAGTTTAACTAAATCGTTTTATTGCAACTCATGAATACACGTATATAAAATTGGTATTGCTGACAACAACCAAACATAAACACAACATATTTAAAATTTATGGCAGCCATGAAACTGTAATAATTGTAATAAGAAACACTCTGTTGTTAAATTCAAATAAACAACTGGATTGTTTTGTGTTTTAACCCCATAACTTCATTTTAATTTTTTTTACAAATTTGCACCTCCAAAAAAAAAAGCTAATAAAATGCGATTTTTCTATTTCCTCCTTGATGATAAAAAAAGATCTGAAATAGAAATGCAGCAAAATTTCTGCTCGACAACAACAAAACATAATTTCGTGCATCCTGAGGAGTCTTTATTGCAGGATTGTTGCTTTACGTTGCGTTTGTCTACAGAGTAACGACTAAGCCGTTACTCCAAGGGATCTCTGAACCTTGTTTTCTCCCGTTGTCAACGCCTTTCTCGCACAAACAGTTCTAGCATGATTTCATGCTGTAAGCAGATATCGGTGCAGTAGGTGGGACATTGGCGGTCACAGGAGGCTCAGCCCAAGGGAAACCCATCACCTGAGATGTTCTGAGCCCCGGAGATCAGTCAAGTCAGCCGAGTGAGCCGACCTGCGATAAACAAGGCCAGCGGACATTACAAAGAGTATTTTTTATTTGTTTTTAAGTTTCGTGCACAGGCAGATCAGCGCAAAAGGTCTAATTTTAGAAAACATAGATATGCTGCAATTCTTCTACTCTGATATTACCTGGGGACTAATGTGATTCACATGTGCACACGATATTGCACACAAACACATGCTCATACAACACAGGCCCCGCTAAAACACACACACACAAACACACACACACACACACACACACACACACACACACACACTTGAGTGTATCTTTGTATAAACACTAGAGAGAGTGGATGAAAGAGAGTGTCTGCCATGGATGCAGACAAGTTGCATTTGTCTTTTTCATGCTACGTCTCCGTGTGTGTGTGTGTGTGTGTGTGTGTGTGTGTGTGCTTTGGGGGGTGGGGTGGGGGGGTAGTGCGTTAGTCCCTCTTGGATGAGCACACACGGCTCAGGATGCGGCTGGGAGCATGAGTTCTGACCGTGAGGAGTATGACATGCTCTGTCAGAAAGCTGTAACCCTCCTTATTGACCTCTGCCTGCTCAACAGTACCGTGCTGGATCAGGACGCCTGTCAGGATTTCCTGTTGGCACTGACCAGTCAGGACTCGGACCACAAAGACGCAGGTAGGCGAGGATCTACAGCGCAGAGTGTACAAGGCAGCATGTGCTCCGTAAGGCGACATCTGCTCCCTGGAGGATGGCTATATAATTAATTTGTTGAATAATTTTTTTCTGTCCTGTTTATGTTTTTACTGCTATTGTCCTTATGTGTGAACTGTGGTGGAGGGTTCAGACAGAGTTTCCTGTTCCAAGCCATCAGGACACCCATGAGTTTTCAAAGTTATTTCGTCTCCTCAGTTTGAGCTTCTTTATCCTCAATGGATCAAATGTCAGCTGATGTCTGAAAAACAAGACGGAATTAGAATTTAATTTTGTGCGTTGGTAGCCAGCAAATGAACACGTGCAGCGGTTGTACAAAAGCAGAAGCATTCAGGGCTAATCTGCTAAGTTTCAGCACCCTGAATGAGATGTCTGACTTATTCACGAGGGCTGATTTACTCATCTGTTGCAGCCTCGTGGATCTGTTGCTCTGGCACATGTGAGCTCTTTAGGTACATTTCAACTGCAGCCTGTCAAGCAAAGCCTGAGTATTTTTACCATGTGTGTCGATAATTAAATTTACACCCTAAAAGGATTTATTTGTCTGTCTGTGTGTAAAATAGAAAGAATCAGGATGTACCAATCAAGACTCTTTGGCCCAATATCAATCCAAGTCATTCAGGATTATCTACTTGCATTAAATCTGAATCCAAGTCTTTAACTATATTGGTTTTTATTTATTTTACAATAAAAACATTAATGAATGAATAATTTTTGAATAATCTAAGAGCATTCTTAACAGACTTATTCTTGACAACATTGGTACCTTCCTGAGTGAACTATTATACTCAGGGCTGCTGCTGGTCCAGGCTAAAGAGGTGGTGGTGGTGGTGGGGGGTGGGGGGGGGGGTGGGGGGGCTTTGCAAATTTCCTTGTTTGTGACATCACAAACGGGGCTTTTTGAAATGGCTCGTCTTAGGATGTAATTCCTGAAGCAAACACTGGCAGAAAACAGATGGACTTTTTGTTAGGTGTGGTGTGTTTATAGAGGCAGTGGAAACCCACCTTGCAGTGCAATAGGTGAGTTCTGCATAATACTATGTCCCCTTTAAAATTAATGCATGTGAGTTTTTATGGAGGATCACTGAGTAGGGAGACAGTATATTGACACAGGTTACAGGGTTTCTCATTATTCCCATTCACGGGTGTCTTAATGTCACAATATTTTATAATAATGTTTTAAAGAACAGCAGTTGCTTTGCCTGGGCTGCCACATTACCGTGGTGGAGGGGTTTGAGTGTCTCAATGATCCAAGGAGCTAAGTTGTCTGAGGCTTTATGCCTCTGGTAGGGTCACCCATGGCAAACAGGTCCTAGGTGAGGGATCAGACAAAGAGCAGCCCGAAGACCTCTTATGATGAATTATATAAATGGAAACCGTGTTCCCTCGCCCAGACGTGGGTCACTGGGGCCCCCCTCTGGAGCCAGGCCTGGAGGTGGGGCACTTTGGCGAGCGCCTGGTGGCCGGGCTTAGCCCAAAGAGGAAACGTGTGTCCCCCTTCCCATGGGCTCACCACTCGTGGGAGGGGCCAAAGGGGTCGGGTGCATTGTGTGACGAGTGGTTGTTGAGGGCGGGGACCTTGGCGGTCTGATCCTTGGCTACAGAAGCTGGCTCTTGGCACATGGAATGCCACCTCTCTGGTGGGGAGGGAGCCTGAGTTGGTGTGAGGTTGAGAGGTTCCGACTAGATATAGTCGGACTCACCTCAACGCATGGCTCTGGAACCAGTTTCCTTGAGAGGGGTTGGACTTTCTACCACTCTGGAGTTGCTCCCACTGACAGGCGCCGAGCAGGGGTGGGCATACTAGTTGCCCCCCATCTTGGTGCCTGTACGTTGGGGTTTACCCCAGTGAATGAGAGGGTAGCTTCCCTCCGCCTACGTGCGGGGGGATGGGTTCTGACTGTGGTCTGTACTTATGCACCAAACTACAGTTCAGACTACCCACCCTTTTTGGAGGCCTTGGAGGGGGTACTGGAGAGTGCTCCTTCCGGTGACTCCCTTGTTCTGCTGGGGGACTTTAACGCTCACGTGGGCAATGACAGCAAGACCTGGAGAGGTGTGGTTGGGAGGAATGCCCCCCGATCTGAATTCGAGTGGTGTTTTGTTATTGGACTTCTGTGCCAGTCATGGATTGTCCATAATGAACACCATGTTCAGACATAAAGGTGTCCATATGTGCTCTTGGCACCAGGATACCTTAGGCCGCAGCTCAATGATCGACTTTGTTGTTGTTTCATCTGACCTGCGGCCGCATGTCTTGGACACTCGGGTGAAGAGAGGGGTGGAGCTGTCAACTGACCACTACCTGGTGGTGACTTGGCTCAGATGGTGGGGGAGGATGCCAGTCAAACCAGGCAGGCCCAAACGTATCGCGAGGGTCTGCTGAGAACGTCTGGCAGAGTCTCCTGTCAGAAGATGCTTCAATTCCCACCTCCGACAGAACTTCCAAAATGTTCCGGGGGAGGAGGGGGGCATTGAGTCTGAATGTACCCTGTTCTGTGCCTCCATTGTTGAGGTGGCCGACCGGAGCTGTGGTTGCAGGATCATCGGTGCCTGTCGTGGTGGCAACCCCGAACCCGCTGGTGGACACCGGCGGCTAGGGATGCTGTCAAGCTGAAGAAAGAGTCCTATCAGGTCTTTTTGGCCTGTGGGACTCCAGAGGCAGCTGACGGGTACCGGCAGTCCGGTCGCCAAGGCAAACCCGGGCATGGGAGGAGTTCGGAGAGACCATGGAGCAACACTTCCATATGGCTTTGAAGAGTTTCTGGTCCACCATCCGACGCCTCAGGGGGAAAGCAGTTCGCTACCAACACTATCTGTAGTGGGGACGGTGTGCTGCTGACCTCTACTCAGGACATTGTGGATTGGTGGGCAGAATACTTTGAAGACCTCCTCAATCCCATCGACACGTCTTCCAGTGAGGAAGCAGAGTCTGGGAACTTTGGGTTGGCCTCTCAAATCTCTGGTGCTGAGGTCACTGAGGTGGTTAAAAAAGCTCCTCCGTGGCAAGGCTCCAGGGGTGGATGAGATCCGCCCGGAGTTCCTTAAGGCTCTGGATGTTGTGGGGCTGTGTTGGCTGACGAGGTTCTGCAATATTGCGTGGACATTGGGGGCAGTCCCACTGGACTGGCAGACCGGGGTGGTGGTCCCCTTATTTAAAAAGGGGGACTGCAGGGTGTGTTCCAACTACAGGGGGATCACATTCCTGAGCCTTCCTGGCAAGGTCTATTCAGGGGTTCTGGAGAGGAGGGTCCGTCGGATTGTTGAACCTCAGATTCAGGAGGAGCAATGTGTTTTCGCCCTGGCCGTGGAACACTGGACCAGCTACATACCCTTAGGGGGATCCTAGAGGGTGCGTGGGAATTTGCCCAACCAGTCTACATGTGTTTTGTGGATTTGGAGAAGGCGTTTGACCGCGTCCCTCGGGGGCCCTGTGGGGGGTGCTCTGGGAGTATGGGGTACCAGGCCCTCTGATACGGGCTGTTAGGTCCCTGCATGACCGGTGTTAGAGCTTGGTCCGCATTGCCTGCAGTAAGTCGGCTCGTTCCCAGTGAGACTTGGACTCCGCCAAGGCTGCCCTTTGTCACCGATTCTGTTCATAACCTTTATGGACAGGATTTCTAGGCGCAGCCAAGGTGTGGAGGGCATCCGTTTTGGTGGCCTGAGGGTCAGGTCTCTGCTTTTTGCAGATGATGTGGTCCTGTTGGCTTCATCAGAACGTGATCTTCAGCTTTCGTTGGAGCGGTCCACAGCCGAGTGTGAAGCAGCTAGGATGAGAATCAGCTCCTCTAAATCTGAGACCATGGTCTTGATTCGGAAAAGAGTAGAATGCCTTCTCCGGTTCAGGGATGAGGTCCTGCCCCAAGTGGAGGAGTTTAAGAATCTCGGGGTCTTGTTCACGAGTGAGGGAAAACTGGAGCGTGAGATCGATAGGCGGATTGGTGCTGCATCTGCAGTGATGCAGGCGTTGTACCGGTCTGTCATGGTGAAGAGAGAGTGGAGTCAGAAGGCGAAGCTCTCGATTTACCGGTCGATCTATGTTCCTTCCCTCACCTATGGTTATGAGCTTTGGGTAGTGACCGAAAGAAAGAGATGCCGGATACAAGCGGCCGAAATGAGTTTTCTCCAAAGAGTGGCTGGGCTCTCCCATAGATATAGGGTGAGAAGCTCGGTCATTCGGGAGGGGCTCGGAGTAGACCCGCTGCTCCTCCACATCGAGAGGAGCCAGTTGAGGTGGCTCGGGCATCTGGTCAGGATGCCTCCTGGATGCCTCCCTGGTGAGGTTTTCCTGGCACGTCCAACTGGGAGGAGACCTAAAGGTAGACCCAGGACACGGTGGAGGGACGATGTCTCTCACCTGGCCAGGGAACACCTTGGGATTCCCCCGGAGGAGCTGGCCCAAGTAGCTGGGGAGAGGGAAGTCTGGGCCTCTCGCCTTAGGCTACTGCCCCCGCGGCCCGACTCGGATAAGCGGATGAAAATGGATGGATGGATGGATGGCAGTTGCTTTTGGGGGCCACAGTTGCTAAAGGGTTAGGAGCTTGTCAAATGATTGGCGGGTTGTCGTGCCTTTGGGCAAAACACTTCACCCTCTTAACTTGCTAGTGGTGGTTGACGGGACCAGTGGTTGTGTGGCAGCATCGCTTTTGTCTGAGGGCAACTGTTGCTGCAACATAGCCCATCGCTGACAATGTGTGTGTTTGTGTGTGAGACATGTGCAATATGTGCCTTAAACACCAGCCAGTTACATTTAAAAAGGTGACAGCAGGTCTGTGCAGTTTTCTGACCTGCGTTAACTTTGTTGGAAACTAGAAACAAAGTGCAGGCAGATATAAAAGACAATAAACTCCTGTTATTTCTACTAAATTCACCTAACTCACCTGGTACCGGCATCATCACAGTACACAATCACGTCAATGCAATATTAAGTATGTGTTCAATACTTGTGCAGTTCTGGATCTATA